GAGAGAGAGAGAGGACGTCCCGACGATTTGGAAATTAAACATACGCAACTACGCGAACGTGTCCATGGTGATTTTCTTTCGGCGGTGAAGAATGATAGATCGCAGAGAGACAGCGTTTATAACGGTACAACAGTCGATACAGCACGGCTCGGTATAAAACTGCCATTTCGAGTCGTGACGTAAAACATTTATCAAGCAACCAATTCAGTATGACGTGTAAGTGTACGCCATTTCGCGACGCGATATCTAGAGGAGAGAAATAACTATCTATGGGCGCACAGTCTGCTCGGGACAGCCTACACCATGGGGGGAGGAGGGGGAGGGGGGATTATATTTATTGAGATAAACGCGACGGATTGTACAGGTTCATAGCGCCGCATTATCGTCGGATTAGTGTACGTCTGACGGCGTCAAAAAGCGATATCGATTGAACGTCCGATCAATACTATCGTTTGGAATTCACACTTGCGTCACATACGGCAACGACATTAATTACGCCGAGAATAAATCTTGCATTGTCGAGTGCAAAAAACTGTCGCGCGATATTTCCACTAAAAATTTTATATTCGACCCTTGCCGATATTCGAATCTTTTTAATTTTTAAATATCAAATTTTGTTCGTAATAATTATCATCATGTATTGTATAATTGCAACTGATGTAAAGGTACCGCAACTGTTTAATTTCGCGTTGATTATTTTGCAAAATAATATCAAATCGATATCAAAAGTGTGGCTTCTTAAGAGATAAAGAAAGGGTGTTTGTGCAGCAACAGCATACAAAATGTACGTGCACAATGAACAAATTTTTAGCGTACGTAATGTAATTAAAGAAAAAGTTTTCGCATGTGCATAACGTATATTTGTCGAGTAACTGCAACGCATGCATTCCGAGAAAAGCAGCGACCGCAGCTGCATACATTAATTAATAAGGTATTCCATTCTTTTTTCTTCGTGCCATACGCATCCCGTCCATTGCGCGGAAAGAAGATATCCTAGATGTAGTTTAATTATCGCAATATACTTGTATACTTCGCTTAATTTTCTGCGCTTACGGCTAAACTCTCCACGCAATTCAAATAGCTACAAATTACATTCTTGGAATATTTTCTACCGAGCGTAAATTGAAATATTCGAAATTTCTGTTATCTTGTTAATAGAAAAACTTATTACTCTTAAATTTATATTATCATCAAAATGATAAAATTTCAGCAATTAGAAACATCAATTTCTATTTTTTATAATTTCCATTTTTATATATAATTACAAGTATGATACAAGAGTAATTTATTTTAAATCAAACGAAACTATTAAATTCCATAAATTTTCTCTCTCCGTCTCACTCTCTCGCTCACTCTCTCGCTTTATGCTTAGAACACTGAGAAATATTAATATAAACATTTTTTTGAAAATTTCTGGGATATTCTTTATATTTTAGAGAAATAATATGGTGTAAAATTTTGATATTGTATAAAAAAATTTGTTGGAATAAATTAAACATAATTACGATTAGAAAAAATTAGTGTTTGTGTTAATATTGTTACATATTACACTTAAGTGTAAAAATTTTATATTTTAAATGTGTCATTG